CAAATCATGCAAAAAAATTTAAAAAAATGCAATTTTTTGAAACTCATTTATTAATTTTAGCTCCCCCTTCTCTTAAGACATCCAACATCCTGTTTTGCATTCCAGCTACATAATTTTTTTTCTCTAATGATATTTTTAAACAAGCCAATAAAATAGCGGTTTTAAGTTCACAAGTATTTCTACATTGTTTTCCTTCGCCATAAATTATTTTTGACATATCAGACCACATATTTTCTTTTGGGTTTAAATCGGGACTTAGAGATGGCCGATCCATTGCATTTATATTATTTTCATCAAACCACCCCCTTGTCCTTCTTGCTTTGTGATATGGCCATTATCTTGTTGAAAGACGAAATCATTATTACTGTTTTGTTCGAAAAAACTTTATAGCGAAATTTCTAGATTACTACAGTAAAATTCACTGTTCATGCGAGATTCTATAACCCGTAACACAAGCTTTTGATCGTAGCAAACCTCTTCCCAGACCATTATCTTGCCACCCTCCTGTATTCTTTTACTGTAGCCAATTTCTTCACTATTAACGTTGTGCTAGTAATATTTAAAGCCACCCGGGCCATCTATGTTATTTTTTTTTATCATTTAGTAATCCAAAGTACTTTGGTGAACGCAAATTCAAATCTTATTATTGTGTTTCTTTGTGAGCAATGGGGAACGTTTCATCTTTTTATACACTAAATTTTTGTTCAGGTGAAGTGCTCGAAGAATTGTTGAGTCCGACACGCCTAAATTTATTTGTGCACTAATTTTTTTTAATAGACATGGCTTTGTTGTTAGACAATTTATGTATCATTTTTATCTTCCTAAGCGAAAGAGATTTCGGTCTGCCCCGTATTTCCCTTTTGCCATAGTTGCTTTTTTTTCTAAAAAAAACTTTGTATAACGTGTCTGCTTCTATTTATCTTGCGAGAAATCGCAGAAATGGTCATATTATTTACTCATTTTGGGGTATAAAAAATACAATCTTAAAAAAAGAAAACATTTGCATATTTTA